TCTGATGAACTGTTTGTTATGTTTTTACGTTTTTGTCCATCTCCATGCATTCAAAAATGCTTGGTCTAATCCTAGCGATATGGTACACTCGGGATTTGGCGACATTGGCATCACAAATGTTTTAGCGAGCCCGATAAATATTTTTTGGAAATAAAATCTTGTGAACATTGTTCGTAATTCTACTCAGTTGAAATAATTCTTCTAGGTCATTTAAAAAATTATTCTATTAAATTATCAGAAGAACCGTCGAAAGGTTTAACGCAATCGTATAAATCTCTGAAAGTTACACTGCATTGCTGTTCAACCGATGTTAAAATTCTTATATAAACGAACATCTCGAGGTTTGTGCGCTTTGGCTAACTGCCAAACTTGAACAAGTTACAGACTGCGCAGTTTCGTTGAAACTCCATTTTATTTTCGTGAATCCTTTCTTCATCGTTTTCTAAGTCACCGTCAGGATTAAATACTGGAGAGCTTCAATACAGAAAGAGGAAGATGTACAGGATGATGACCACTTCATTTTGAATTGAGGAGAAATCATCGTGGAAATGTCGAATTTGTACTTATTTTGTTTGTGAATATCTACTCTACAAGACGACACAAAAATTTTGAATTTTGATACATCATTTACAAAATACCGAATGCAACGTGCTAATCGTCCATAAAGTGAAAATAGTGTTCAGTTTTGGTGTTTTATACGTTTCCGGTGATTAAAGTTATATGGTGGTGTTCTCCAATCTTCAGTGGTTCTAGCGGTACAATATTTGGATACACGGAATAGCTTTGTGCTTCGGTTATAACATCCTAAGTGCTATACCGTATATCATTCATATTAATCGATTATTGTGTTCATAATGAAACGTTGGTGCTCAGAATTAATGTATAAAAATATGTATACGAAAAAATACTATTAAAGATACATTAGCATTATTATGGAACATTGTAATCTATAATTATGTGATATTTAATTATGTAATATTAAAAAACACTAAATATTTTTTATTGATTGCAAATTGCAGTTTTATTACTTTTCGCTGTGTATCTATTTTTCCAAACACTGTGTAATTCGCGTTTTTTTTTAAATATTGCCGTTATGTATGTTTATTAGATTATCTCTATAAATTAATGTTGGAAATTAGATTTTGCTTTTTATTAAATTTAAGTACATTCTATTTTCTTCGCTTACTTTTTATGTGCTTGTGATAACAAAGAATTCATAATAAATAGAAACAAAAGACTGATCGTGTGCTATTTAACGAAGAGCTCACTTTAACTTGCTTAGCTTATTATCGTATAGTATATTATTTTAATTATTTCTGTACAGTAACAAAAGGAAAGTTATTGATTATAAAAAGTGCGTGAAATAATCATTGTAATCTACCACTATTCTAAAATGTACAAGCTTGTACTTGTAGAAACTAAAAATAAGTAAATACATTAACATATGATCGAAAGAAAACGGATTAAGAAACATCAGCATTACTAGTAAATACTCCAATACATAAATATTGCTTTTTTAATTGCTTTTTATTTAAAAACACAAATACTTTTTTTATTAATTGCAAATCTTAATTCTGTTACCTTCCTTCTACTATTTATACTTTCAAACACTGCTAGTTACTAGTGTTGTTATGTATGTTGTTTGTTAGCTTATTATTTCATTCTAGATATGAATATGAGAAGTTACTAGATTTAGGTATATTTTTGTATGAAATATTTTTGATCACATTTATTAACTACTTTTTAGTCTTTCATTTGCATATCTTGGGAGATATAGAAGCTAATGGTTATATTTTTTACAATGAAACGAGAATAAATTTATACTTGAGTTCAGGTAAAATACTGATTATGTTACCTACGCTTCCTAATTTAGCATGACAGCGACAATTTTCATTGTCTCTCAGATTTAACAGAAATAAATGTGATAATGCTGTTACAATCAGAAACGCTGTTTCTTTACCCACATATATAGCTTCACTTTTATTTATGCCTGATTAAGCTTTATTTACTTAAAACCTACTATTATTGTTATATATTTATAATAACCACTTTCAAAATTACTCTCACTTACATACTAAAGGATTAAGGGAAAAAGTGATGAAATCTTAAATAATCGTAACTTAGAATTTAAGTTATTTAAAAAATATAGTTTAAAGTACTGAAAATAATTAAGGCCGTTATTTGTTATACATATTTATTCAAAAAGAAAAAAATGCATTATCTTCTGGTTTTCAGGAAATGATAAAATATTTAAACTTTAGAAAAATACAAGCAATACAAAATTAAAAAAAAGAAGAATTATTAAGCTTATTTTTCTGCAAAAATCAATATGTAACACAAGGACATAATAACGACGTTTTCACAACTGTTGCAAAAAAGGTCGAATTCTGCGAACATTTAGGCGTCGTTAAGACGTCGTGATACGATGCTTTCACAATCAAAATATAACCTGAGAAAGACGCAATAACGACTTCTATTCAACATAAACCTCATTTGCAAAGATTTAATAAAGACATCTTTGCAACGGTTGCAAAACAGTGGAGTGTCGTAGACATCTGGGCGTCGTAAGGACGACATATTGCAACGGTTTTGCAACGTGACCAGTTTGCAAAGTCGTTATGACGTTGTCGTGCTACTTGGGATGTCAATTTTAACACTGATGGAATATATTTCGAAGCCCTGATATTTTCAATTCTGGTTATTCAATAGATTAAGAGCGATAATTCATACGGATGCAGAATAAAATAAAATTAATCGTCATAACTGTAGAGACATAAGCTTAATTGAAAAAGCCGTAGGAATGAAAAATGAGTAAACGCCTTTGCCGGGAATCAAACCACGGACCTCTGGAATACGCGCACAGCGTGCAGACCACCACATCACGAAGGTATGCCAAGAAGGCATACTTCCCATTTTAAAGGGCGACTGGGGTTTTCAGGAGACCCAATCACCACATCCTGGGTGGGGAGAATCATCATCCACCACCTTTTTAGTTCGGGCGCCACTGTAGAGACATTAGGTTAATGTTAATTGGGAAAGCCGGAGAGATGAAACATGAGCAAACACCTTCGCCGGGAATCGAACCTTGAACCTCTGGAATACGCGCCCAGCGTGCAGACCACCATACCACAAAGGCATGTCAAAAAGGCGGGAGAAATACCTTATATAACAAAGTTTCAATCTTTCCTGTTAACACATTTTAAAACTCCACAGATAATTTCCTTTGGTTTATTCGAAATTGGCACTCATTTCGCCTGGATATAATGATTTTATAAGAACACTCATAGTGTAAATTTTGATCAGTAATGAAGAGCAAACTTGGAAGCCAAGGGAGATTAAATATTTATCTTTATTTTAATTTCCATCTGTGGCCACAATTCCCTTAACACTCTAAATCGTTCTTGTTTCAAAATATTATCTACTATATTGTTATCATAGGAAGAAAGCAGAGAGACAGCGTCTAAGGCAAAACAAAAGTAGAAGCAAAGGTACGCAGTTATCAAATATGGCAGCTTATTAAAAGAGAACATTTCGGTTTAAATTCAAAATTAGCTACGTCATTATCGTGATGTAAAAGTTATATATGAATTATTTTAGAAATGATGACGTTCAAGGAAAGTTATTAATATTTTTAGAATAGAGAGTTGAAATACCCAAATTTAAATGAGGAGTTAAAGGTCTGCTGCTAATTTAAATTATAATTTTGATGTACATATTTTTATGCATGTAAAGATAATATTTTATATGTAAGGTAATATGTATCATAGCTTATGTGTAGAAAGCTGTAAAATATTTTTACGTATTACATAATTTTTATGTATTTATTTAATTATAATTTTGATTTACATTTATTATTAATACAAAGTGGATTTGAACAATTTTCTAAAGAGTTTTGCTAGAGAATTCCTTAATTAGAAAATTTTATTACGGTATAGAATTTACTTTTGTTATAGAGTGAGAAATATGAATATGTGAACAGGTAGCTGGCAAATAAAGTTATTTTGTTCATATTTTTAACATTTCTGAAATACGAGAATGCTGATTTTGATAATATTTCTGTCATATAACATACAGCCTATTTGCATTTCTCTCGAAACGCCGTGCTTGATTTAAATAAGTTTCAACAAATGCGTGATTTGCATTGAATATTCTGAGTAAGAAGTGAGAACTTCACTTCACACAGATAACTGATATATTTCAGTATATGCATAATGCAGTCAAAATTATTTGCCAGTCTTATTCTAACTCGTATCTCATGATCTCAAAATATGACTTTCCTGAAGCTAAATATGAATTTAAAAGTGAAAGATCTTCAACAAATGGCAGAATTTGATTTATTGATCTGTAACCTTTTATACCATACTTTCGTAAAGATATTCTAATTCCATTCGTTATATTCAACCACCCTTATATGAAATCCACGTTTCTAACCAATTATTAACTCTCAGAACCCGAAATCCGTGAATAAAGGGGTTACATTTTATCCTGAGTATACGTGGGAAACGTTCATATCGCGTCGGCAGAAACTGGGATTTCAAGCTTTGTTTCGCAGAAAGAAACAAATTTTTTGTCGCTTTTATGAGTTTTGCACACGATGTCAGAGAAGTAAGCCACATCTTTCCGCTTCTGCCCCAAGTAGCCGACTGGGTAAAAGTGCTGAATACCTAGTGTTTGAATCTGGGTTTAAACCCAAGCGAACGGGTTGGCCTGCATAGGGAGTTTTCGATGTGTTTTCCATGTGGTAACGCGAATACTAGCCAATTTGCCTTAGAAAACCTCCAGGAAAGTAGCCCTCATTCGATTTGCCATAAAAAATAACCTAACTACTTTTGATTACAGGTGTGTTTTTCTGCTATCTGTGTGCTATACATCATTTAGCCCGCAGATGACTTTGTGAAGGGACGCAAGGGCTGTCAACAAATGAGAGAAAGAATTTTCTTAATAAATCGATACACCATTTCATAAATTTCTCATTAAAATATATTTATTTCAGTACTTACCTTGCTGGCTTACAACAGTGTTTCCTTTTACTGTCACTATAGAGTGTTCGCCTTTATTTTGATCAGTAGACACCACTGAAGCTCCATCAGGACTAAGATCAAAAGTCAGTAAAGTTTCCTGACCACTGGGCTTAATAACTTGTGTCAAGCGCCCATTCTCATCGTAGACATAGAAAAAGGATCTACCTGCCGCATCTGACCTACTAGTCAACAATCCGTTACTGTCGTAATCGAATACAGTCTCCATATTATCTGGATCTACGAACACTTCTAAAGTTCCCTGCTTTCCCATTTGGACTCGACACTTCTGGCCTCTGGCAGTCTCGATTGTGTGTAAGCTATTACCCTGGTCCCTCAGGAAAGCAACTTTGTTGCCAGAAGCATCAGTGACTGCACTAAGCTTCCCAAAGCTGGTGTTTACATTATAATGGAAGTTATAAACTGTTCGACCAGTCAACACATTCTTTGTAGTAATATGTTGACCATACTTGTTAAAGATATATATCTCATGGTGTTCTGGGAATGCGATTTGAAACTCTTGGTTGCTATCTGCTGCTGGAAGATAAGGAATGGCAGACATTATTTTCAAATTTCCTTGATCTGCTATGTGTACAACTCCATCTCCAGTGACAGTTATTGATGTAACAGATAATAATCTGGTATCAACCGCAAGCTGGCCTTCGTCTTTTGCAGAGCATGTACAGTTTTGCCAGTCACAGTCACAAAGTCCTTCTCTTCCAGCGAAATGAAGTAATTCTCCATCTGGTGTTAGCATGCGCACTCGATGCACATTCTTTGCGTCTACTTCCGCGAGGTACATAGTACCGGTAGGACTGAAAGTGAAGCCAATTAAAGACCATAATAAGTTACCACCAGTAATTCGTGTTCTCATATGACTTTGTTGAGGTCTGCAGTAAACAGGATGTCCTGCCATCACCATGACTCGGCGATCTTGAGTTAACTTCAGAACCATGTGATCATCAATAAAATACAACGAGTTATCCAAAGGATTTATTGCAAGATCTGTTGGCCATCGCAGTTTAGCCTAAAAAGGTAAAAGAATTGCGTTTAAGGTAATGGATAAGAAAACATTACTCACATTGTAAAAAATGAAAGACCTAATAATGAGTTTGATAGCCTAATGAAATTATTTATTTACTCTGTACGAATTGATGGAAATATAGACTTCACGCAAAAGTTTATTCACATCTATAAATTTATTGCCTTTTGTATGAAATGCAATGTACTCAAATAAAGGAAATACAAGAATATACAATGAATATTTTGCATACTGAGTTATATAGAAGTATTCAAACCTATTAAAATTCAGATTATAAATTAAGTTATTTTGAAAATAATGCTTAATTTTATTATATCTCTATTCTTTTTAAAGGATCCATTACAGAAACATTAGACTGAGTTATTAAATTTATGACTTTATATACATTTTACTTTCCTTCAGCATAAAATACGTTTTCAATAAAACTCTTCTAATCTGCATTTGTTTACTAAGCATTATTTGTTAATTTAAGCATTACTGAATTAGTTTGACTTTTAACAATATATAATTCTGTAAACGTTTGTAATTATCTGTTAACATATGTTAATTACAAAGAAAACGTAGTTTTACAGCCTAGAAAGCTAATTAATAGTTATTCATTCCTTATTGTCACTAAGAAGGATTTGGTCAAGAACCTCACAGCATTCTGTTCGTTTTGCGAATAAATTTATGCTTGTAATATACTGAACCGTTGGCATTTGTTTGAATTTTGTACGATCCATTCAAAAAATAGTACATTCATTCAGACGTCTCGTAACTTGTGAAAAATAATCATTAGTTTAAACGACAAAACAACGCTTGTTGCATGAATGAAGCGCTAAAGGAAACATTATTTTAATCCATTTTCTACAAATCTTAAATTGAAAGGGTCACAGAAAATGTTTCCTTATACTTCATACATAGAATGCAAAATTGTATGTGATATTATTGTTATTAGCACAAAGGGGCTTTAGACAAGAAGGGCTATTAATTTCATTTTGATATTTGCATTGAAAACTATAAATGTCGGTTCACTTTTCATATTGTTGCCATCAAATATTACAACCCTGTATACCCAGGCTCACGACTGCTAGCCGCATGTGCTTCCATTTACAGCACGAAAGATCCTCTGTAAGAAGGAAGAAAATACCTTAGATTTTGCTCCACTTAAAGAAAGGGAACTGGGAAGGTGTAGATCCAATAGCCTTGACGAATAATCGTGACGAATACCACCTCATTTTATTTATTTTTAGTCCAAAGGGACAATTTGCCTAGAAGGATTATTAATTTCGTTTTGGCATTTTGCGTTAATTCACTACAAGCGTTGTTTCACTTTTCAAATTGTTGCCACCAAATATTGTCGCCCTGTATTATATTTAAAGAAATTAAATAATGAAGAATCTGCATAACTGTATGTATGTTTATCGCATTGTTATAAATAAATGGTACCTAGAGCCATCAAATTTTGAATAACGTAATCCTCCAGGGAATCTGGGCATCTGGAAGCCCAAATTTGAAATTTGTTTTATCATGGATTTCATATTTTATAAAACTTTAACCATTTTTTGAGTAACAAAATCAAAGATTTCAAGTCGAGCAACGGCAACGTTGTACAGAAAAAACATTTTTATCTCCAGCGCGTGAGATTGTGTATCGGAAATTTTAAGATAAGCTCAATTTAAAATTATTTTGTGATATTGCTCTTGAACTGAATTTTATGGTTTAAGTGTGAAGAACGTGATATTTAATAAATAAAGGTAACACACAAAGTGTTAAAAAAGCGCCCCTTCGGACGTAATTTAAAATCCGAAATTTTTCAGATTTTTTTAAATATTTTTTTATTATTATGTTATTGCTACGTTTAAAACTTCCCATACTATTATTTCACATGTAGGTGTTACGTATTTTGAAATAATTGAGCGCATAATTGAATACCGCTGTAACATTTTGATAATCTACGGAAATACAATTAAGATTCTAATATTTAATTTTTGAAACATATGCGCTGGAGAAAAATTGGAAAGTTTAGATATAAACCACATTAGAAATATTTTAAAAGAATAAATAAATTGATTGATACGCATTTATAATTAAAATTTTATTTTTTGTACTGATTTTGGAATCAGAAATATGGAGTTTTGTTTCTTCTATTCAACTCGATTCCTATAATTTTTATAGAGCAGAGTTCACGGTGAAATATTAAATATGTTCATTCATTTTTAACAAAAACAATAAAAAGAGATAATGTACTGTTATGTTTATGCATATTGAAATATGTACCAATAGCCAATCTTTGACTTACTTCTTCGATTTTCAGAGTTCCTGAACAAGGAATCGGCCTCCATTGTCTTTTGTGATGGTGGTCACCAATTAAAGTATGAATAATCCCTCTGCTGTCCACCATTCGTATATTCGACCCGTCAGCAAAATACAACGTATTGTCTACAGCAACTGCCATTCCTATTAATGGAAATCATTAAATTCATTAACTCTGCAAATGACAATTCTGTATAGTTGAAGATTTCAACTGATGCAAATGTACGGTACATGGTATATCAAATCATACACAGAACTCAGTACAATAAAGCGCTGTTTATTATTTAATTTCTTCATGATTATTTTTAGAGGTTATTTGTAAAGAAAAGTAAATCATGTAGTCTTTTTGATCGATTGGAGTTTGTTCATTTTGTGTATCAATTTCATAACACTGAAAAAAATGTCAGGCTAAGAATATCTAGAATTAAATTGATAAATTTTATTTTATTTATTTTTCGAACTTCAGTGTTGTTTATTTGTGTATAAACCATATAACTCACGACTTCTTATTTTTTTCCTATGTTTATCTTTGTTTTTACTATTACAAATTTGTCACTTTTTTGTGTGTGCGGGGGAGGGGATCGAAGTACTGAATATTTATACACTGAGGAAATTACACCTACTTCATTATTGCACCTTTAGAATTGCTTATGAATTAGATCAGAATCCCTTAATTATTAAAATGTAAGCACGATATTTCTATAAAATGAGGAACAATTAGCAAATTCATTAATAAGGAAAACTAAAAATTTAGCAAAATGTTAGGTTCTAATATGAAATGAGCTCAAAGGCTCCCATAATGATGGCTTTAATTTAGATTCTGTGCCCTCATCAAAGAACAAAATGAAAATTTTCGTATGTCCAACTTTTACAAAGGAAAAGAACTGTATTTTGTGAGAGTTTATTGGTAAATGGAAATTTATGTAGTTATATTTTTCAAAAAAAAAAAAAAAAAAAAAAAAAGGTCAAATAAAAATTCAACAGATTAGCTTTTTATCCTTATAATTCATTTTAAAATAATAAAAATAATGAACATAACGGCGAAAGAAATCTGTACTCTCTCGATACTCTGAGACCTGAAGTCATAAACAATATAATATTTATAAATAAAAAATGCATGATACACTATATTTGTATCATGTAAAGTATATACTAAGATAAAAGTTACGTAAAGCAACAACCTGTGCTTGCCATAGTGATTAGTCAAGACTTTATCGATTTCGAGGGCAATCAAGTATAGGTGGTCCCACTTTTTCAGAAAGAAAAAAAGTCCCACTTCTTCTCCTTTCGTTGCAGCTTTCTGCAAAAAAATGACCTAAGCATACACGCTGCTATCTGCAATGAAAGGAAAGCCACGGCTGTAGCAAAAGGAGCAAATTTGACGAGAAGGTGGCGCCACCTCTTGGCAGGAATAAAAACTAAAATTGAAAAAATTAAATTAATAAAATTTAAAAAGCGTTTGTTTACAATTCAAGTAATTAACTAAGCAAAATAAATATTTGTGAATGGGAAAAACTTTAAGAAAATCCTATTCATATTCACAAAGACTTATCTTGCTTAGTTAATGACTTGAATTCAAATCCATTCCTTACTAACGCTTTCAAAATGCTACGAAATTAATTTTTCAATTTTTTTACTATTCATACTGACAGATGGCGCTACTTTCTCATTCGTTTTGCTCCTTTTTTGTATATATACAAAAGCGGCTTTTCCTTTTGTTGCGCATTTCATTGCTTCTGATGAAGAGATAAGCCTCCGCCTGTTTGCCCTCGAAATCCATAGCATCTTGACTAAAGTATACGCCAAACACAAGGTATGTATGCTTAGGTATTTTTAAGCTTTGCTTAATTTTATGTTTTATTTTGGCGTGTTTCTCTTCTGTCATGCTGTATTAAGATTTTTATTACTTTCATGTAACCAAGGCCTAATTAAGCACATTTAAAGCATTAAAATCTATGTTTTCCAGGAGTCACTTACTATCATTTACTTTATTTTTCAAGATGGCAACATATAAACGTTTTAGGAGAAGTTGTAAATTCTCAGGCCATACCAGTTTACAACAGTTCAGCTCTGAATACAGCTTCAAAGTGTTTTAGATTATAAATCTCCAAGAGCATAAATACAATGTTATAATAACAAAAGAAAAAATCTGCCGAATATTAGCTCCGAAACCAACAACTATACAATATATTCAAAATCCGCCCATTCAGGATGTCAGTTTAGATTCATTTTCAGCTCTAATAAACAAAATTACTGAAGAGTGAGAAATTCCAAATTTAGAATGGCGTTTACATTGAAAAATATGTTCTTCTGCGAACAGTTTGTGAGCCGTACTTTCTTTTCAGATGAACAGAATTTTCTCTTTATATGAACACGAGAAGCATATTATCAAATCGAGCATTTTAATTATTCATGCGAAGCGGAAATATTATTGGATGCTGCATTCAACACTACCTTGAAGCAATTGTATTGCGATAAACCTGGCGTTATCTGGTTATCGAAGCAATATGCAGAAAATCCCGTATATACTCTAGTATGCTTTTGTCCAGAGATGAACGTGATATATTATTATGAAAATGTGTAGCCTTTTGTAATGCAGGATAATGAGAAGACTATTGTCACGTTTGAACATTGGTATGCCAGCCATATTGGAGTTCTTGCCACAGATGTTCATTTACAATACAAGTACATGCGGATTGCATATTTCCAAACAGTATGCTCATAAGGAGAACAGACGAGAGACAATTTATCACTAAATATAATCCTTACTTGAAAACAAAACCTTTTCAAAATTCGATTTATGCCTGGAAAAATTTCAAACTGGACTTCGCTGAATTACATTTAAAGAATCATATTTAGAAAGTAAAAGAAAAGAGGGTATAAAAAGTTAAAAACCTCTTTATAGTATCGCTTAGTTATGCATTCTGAATACATAATCTGTCCTGTAAGTAATAAAACACTTCATGAATCAGAAATAGCAACAACATAAAAATAAAATGTTTACCTTGAAAGAGAGGAATATCTAGTTAATTTAACATTTTAATTTTAGAAGTAGATTAACTTTAGAAAGACCATTCTAAAGTATAGTAATATCATGCATATTTCTTTAAAGCTGTTATTATGTCGAATTTTAAATTTATTGTGTTTCCTGTACATCCTTGCAAATAATACTCGAATGATGTACGAAATAAACAAAGAAATTCTGAAGTCTAATAAGCCAATTTCTGACACAAAATTTCGTCTGCAATGCGTTAAATTCAGTAGCAGCAAGTGCTTGAATTAATCTCGGAATTTAAAAATCATATATCTCAAATCTAGCTTTTTTATGTACGCGTACATATTGCAATGCATATGTTTGAACAATTACTTTAATAATACATTCAGTTTCCATATATGAGACTATAACCCTCCTTACCACGTGCTTTGGCAGTGTACGCTCCGGCTGGCAGTTGGGTAGTTCGGAGTTCGAATTCCGGACAGAGCATTGCTTATTTCTAAGTTCCGGCTTCGACAAACCTAATGACTCTAAAATACGCTTAGATTCTATGCTTTTATTACCAGACCAATGGGAAAATGATAACGACCACTAAGTACTAGGAATTCGACCTAGTTTGGGTTCGTTCCCAGAGGAACCGGCTGGCTGCAGGGTTTGATTTGCCTGTGTGTAGCGACAATATAAGTCAGTTTTCCTCATAAAGTCCTCCGTAAAAACATCCCTCATTCTAGGCAGATACACTTGTGGCATTGCCGTATTTAAACAATTTAGTCTATAAGTTATTATTCTACTTATATATTTACGACCATGGCCTCCAGGATGCCGAATGATAAGTTTTAACGCAATTTAATATTTGTTATTTAAGAACCTGTGTTACAGCAACTGGTTGCGTAGCAACGTGTTAGTAAAAAATTTTAATATGTTTAAAAATTACATTTTCCTTATTTTTATTCACTCTTTCACCTCGTTATCACAGCCAGAAGTGATTTTTTTTTTCATTCTTGTAATTTATATACCTGCCGAAAAGAAATACAAATCGTGTATTCTTTCAGAATAGCGGTAACGATAGAAAAATACGCATAAAGGGGAAGGTTTAAATACATTTGATTAAATAATAATAAACAAACTCTCTTGGGGGAAAAATACTTTTGAATTATTAAATCTAAAGAAAATATCCTAAATGCCGAATATATTGCGACTGAGCCGTTCTCTGTCAATTTTTAGGTAATTATATGGACTCTATTACACTTTTTAACAGCAGGAAATTAACAGCAGGATCAGCTGTGCCTTCGCTGGGATTCGAACTCCTGATCTTCCTATTGCTATAGTCTGCTAGTTGTGCTAGCAAGCCGGCATGTATCATCAAACTATCGCTTCAAGAATCGTCATCGTTTCGTCCAAGCCCTTGGTGGCCGGTTTCTCTCTTCTTCGCTGCTGGGAGTTCAAGGGTGAAGGACGGGCTTCGGCCTGTCTCTTCACTGACTGTCTCTTCACCTACGACCTCGTTTCATGATGCACGTTTAACTTTCCTGAAAAGTCCGATGATATGGATTCTGATTTATAGAAAGCCAGCTGTAGTTTTTTATTGAATATATTCATTCTATATGCAGTTGCTGAAAATTCATCCTGGGTGGAATGATGTTTTTTTAGCAAGAATCATGAACGATCTCATTGTGCAATTTAAGACTCATCCATTGTCTATCGCCACGTGGTGCACTGCTCCAAATTAATTCACTGGTAGAAGCTTCAAAATCAAAAGAAATTTCAAGATAAGTATACTCCTGGTCTACATATATCTTCGATTCTAGGTTTTTCGTGATTTATAGAAAGTGATGCAAATGGATAGTGCTCTATAGTGTATCGATAAACGAGTGGACGCTCTGTATTTACAGTAGGACTATAGTTATGATCTGATTATTTAATTTTCTTGTTTGTTTGTGTGAGCTCAGCAATAAAATTTTTTATAGGAAAGATAAATAGAGTAAATTGTAGACGAATAACTTGTATTTTCTTCTTCAACTATCTCAACGTCTGGGGTAAGTACTTTATTTTGCTATCCTCTGTAGGTCACATATTTTATCCCTATCATTCGGGTTATTGCGGAAACAACGTGATGTGCTCTTAATCACTGTATAATTTCATCGCTGAT